GGATGGCGAGGGAGAAGGGAGGGAAGATGTGGGGGTGAGATGAGCTGGGATGCGGCCAGGACAGAGAGGGGAGTAAGGAAAAGCCACATTCCCCGTAGCACCGGGGCTGTGGAGCAGCAGCCGAGCTCGGGATGGACACAAGCGCTGCTCCCAAAGGGGGAAAGAGCCAGATCCAGCCCCGTGATGCGCCCCACGGCCGGCCCTGCTCACTCACGCCCCGGTGAAGATCTTCTCCACGTAACTCCGCATGAACTCGCGGCGCTCTGCCGTGGCCTCGTCCCGCGCCGACTCCGTGCTCTGGCTGGAGGAGAAGGACTCGTTGGAGGAGGAGCGGCGGTAGCCACCCCAGTGGCCGGGAGAGTCYCCCATGTCGTTCTCGCTGTCTGCGGACTCGGTGGCATCGCTCTCCTCCGCGGCCACGTCCCCCGTGTCCCCCAGGTGCCCGTTGTCGCTGGGAGCGGCGGGAGGAGCGGGCTCTGAGGGGTCGCAGGCGGGCGTTTCGGTGTCAAAGTCAATGAGGTTCCCCACGGGCACATCCGGAGGGGCCTCCATGGCTCTCCAGGGGTGTGGCAGTGCTGGGGACACTCGCTCCTYGTCCTTTTGTCCCTCACTGGGGCGCTGAGGCCATCGCTGGCGGGGTGCTGGCTAAGGCAGGCGGGAGCTCTGGAGAGGGGCCAGGTCAGCACAGGACATCTGAAAGGCAGAGGGAGGACAAGAGTGAGGACAGGWCCCCGGGAACTGCCCCATTCTGGACAAGGCCACCATCCACGATGTCCCCAGGATGCCACGGGCAGCGCAGGCACAGACAGGGCTCACCGAGCTGGCTGCTTTCCACCAGCCACGTGAATCAGCGATCCCATGGAGTGCTTTCRGCACCGCTCGAGAGGGTTTTCCGTCCTTTAGCCCAGAAAAGGGACAGTCACAGCCCCAGCTCCAGATGTCACATTAGGGATGTGACATCTCAAGGCCCGACGGGCAAAGTCGGGCTGGCAGGAGCCAGCAGCTGGCAGGACACTGCTGCTTCTCCAGGGCAGCCCTGGCATCCTCCTGTCGCTGCCCTCTCTCTGCCCGCGGGTCTGTCTGACCCCRTTTGGAAACGGGATCATCTCTGGGGTGGAGCATCCCGGAGTTTAACACCACAGACTTAAATTTGGAATGGAAAGGGGGTGCTGGAGATGGCAGGTGCTGTAATGGGATGAGGCTGCAGAGCTCTGGACTGATTAAGGGCTTTTGGCACCCATCCCAGATTGCGAAGGTCCTGCAAAGGAGGTGCAGGGACCGCAGGGATGGGGATGGACAGGGATGCCCCAGCACACACCACACTGCACAGCACTGCAGAAAGGGCCATCCTGAAGCTGTCTCTGTGTCAGACTCACTGGTGCCCACAGTGAGGGTGTTTCTGCCCCGGGAATGGCAAGGGACAGCATCCAAACCCCGGTACGCACTGCAGCATCCGGGCACGGGGCCAGCATGGGATGGCACAGGAGTAGGGACAGTGGCACAGGTGACAGTGACAAACCCAGGGCAGCACAACAGCACCATTGACAGCAACAGAGACTCCTTCCCGCCTGTCCCCTGAGCTGGATGACAAACTGAGATAATGCCTGTTATCAGCTCAGGCCGTGGGTGACATCCCACACGATGACAGTGTTCGAATCTCGCGTCTGTGCCCTAGGTGGAGACGGTGCTCCAGCCCGGAGCCCTCAGGGATGACTGAAATCCGTAATTAAAGCAGAGAAACCTCTGTCTGCCTCCTCGCAGCCTCATCCCTGCAGCCTGGCACCCAGACACGGCGTGCCAGGGCTCTGGAAGCCCCGGGGAACGCTCAGCTCTGGGGAAGGGGAGAAGCCGCCATCGATATTCTGGCAGGACTCGGCTTGGCAGCACGGAGGGGACAGAGCRGGGRCACAGAGCAGGGACAGAGAGCAGGGACAGGGAGCATGGACACACAGGACAGGGAGACAGAGCAGGGACAGGGGGCAGGGACAGGGAGCAGGGGCAGGGAGCAGGGACACAGAGCAGGGACACAGAGAGCAGGGACACAGAGAAGGGATAGAGATCAGGGGCACAGAGAGCAGGGACAGAGAGGAGGGACACAGAGCAGGGACAGGGAGCAGGGGCACAGAGAGCAGGGACAGAGCGGGGACACAGAGCAGGGACAGGGAGCAGGGGCACAGTAGGGACACAGTAGGGACACAGAGAGCAGGGACAGGGAGCAAGGACAGAGAGCAGGGACAGACAGCAGGGATACAGAGCAGGGACACAGGGCAAGGATTCAATGGAGGGACACAGAGCAGGGACACGGAGAGCTCCGGCACTGCATCCATGCCAGGGGCTGYGGATGCCAMGGGCTGCCTCCCTCCCTCYCTCCGTCCATCCCGCTGCTGTGCGGGGGCGAGGGACGCTCACGTTGGCAGCACCTGCCCTGCCCGGGGCAGCGTTCGTGCCCTGCGCTGCGGCACCGCCGGCTTTAACGCGATTGAAACACATCCCACGCCTCCTCCCCAGCTGTGCCGGGGACAAAATGCTGCTTTCTCCCACCCCGAGCGCTGATGGCCGGGAGAGGAGGCAGCCCCGGGGCAGGGGGACCCGCACAGGGAGTCACCGCTCTGGGGGAGTGGCACGGTGCCACCGCTCAGGGCTGGCACTCCTCCACGCTGCGGCCCTCGGTGCAAATCCACYCTTGTCCCGTCCACCCCGGGTCTGCCACGGGAATGCCACTCGCTCCCGATAGTGGCACTGCCCAGGGACACAGAGCCACCCACCTGCACTGCACCCACGCTCTGTCCCAAACACGTGCCACCGCGGGAGCGSAGCCAGCCCTCTGCAAGGGCACCCTGGGCGAAGCTGAGCGCCTGCCAAGGAAAACTCCCTGTGCCGGCAGGGAACGGCCTGTCTCCTCCCCGGGAACTGGTCAGTCTTGTTCCCTCGTGTCCCTCCCGCGGACAGAACACGCCGGCAGCAGGGTCACGGGCCGCAGAGCCGCTGAGTGCCAGATCCCCAAAACCACCCTAAATCCAGAGCTGCCGCTCCCAAGCACCCCACTGGATTTAAACACACAAATCTCCTCGTTTAAACACATCCTGGGAGTTTGGAAAGCCAAAACTCCTCCACGCCGGGTTTGCCTGCCCCCGCTCTGCTCCCGGTGCCGGGACAAGTGCCCTGGCCAAGGCACAGCCGTGCTGCAGCTCTGCAACTTCAGAAAATCATCCCCTGGATAGCGGGGGGGTGAGACCGGGGCTTGGCTGGGCTGGCACAGGTAGGGCAGAGACCCATGACTTGGTGCATGCCAGAGTCAGCTCCCTGCTCATCCTGAGCGGGGTCCCGGTCCCTGATGCAGGAGGATTTTTGGCAGGTGATGTGCGCTGGTCTAGAGGGTCTTTTTCCCAGTGGCATCTCCTCTGCTGGCCCCAGCGCCCGGGTGGGCCCTGCCCCTTCCCAAACCCTGCTGTAGCACACACGGGCCACTGACAAAACCATCACCGAGCGCTTATAACGGAGCCATTTCCAGGGAATCTGAAGCCCGGCGAGCTCCCAGCTTGCCCCGCTTCCCAGAGAGCCCTTTGCTTTCCCCCCGCTGCCATCAGACACCAGATGGCAGCTCCCCATTCGCCTGGACTTGAGAGGAGAATTAAATGTCTCTTGAATAGACCTGAGCTGCGCAAGCCGCGCTTTTGTGCCGAGCAGCGGTTTCTCCTTTCACAYTCGCCAGCGGCTCAGCTCCCACACGCCCGCACCGCCCCTCCGCCACCGCCACATCCCCAGGGACCCCCGAAATGGGGCTGCTGATTCTGCCATTCCCATTTTTGCCTGGGAAAAATTCACGCCGGGGGCCACGCMAGGCTGTAATTGGGAAATGAGCCCCTGGAAAGGCACAAGGGGGGGATTCCCTGCCCCGACCACACTCAGCCCCCCATTCCCASGGGAGGAGGGGGTTCCCACCCTGCGGAGGGGTTCGGGATGCCTTCCGGCGCGGCAGGGCGAAGGAAGAATTTGCTGCTGGAGCCTGGGGACATCGGGAGCAATCGGGGACCCTCCATCCTTGCCGGGGAGGATGGATGGATGGATCCACCCGGATGCGCTGAGCCCGAACCGAGCTGGGGGAAAGCGGGTGGTCACCTCCCGGCGTGAGATGGGGACAGCGGGCGGATTAAAGGCCAGCMGTGCCCAGGCCTGTCCTCACGCAGGGTCACAGCAGAGCCGCGGGATCCCCACCCTCCCTCCCTCCTTCCCCGCCGCCTTTCGCCGTTACCTGCACCCGGCAGCCTCGCAGCGCCTCGGCTCGCCGGCGGCTCAGCAGCATCGGGCCCGGGGGCGGCCGGCGGGGCCGGCAGGCCGGGGAACGGGCGATGGAGGAGGCGCAGGGACGCGGCGATCCCTCCTTCCCTCCCTCCCTCCTTCCCTCCCTCCCTCCCTCCCTCCCTCCCTGCGGAGCCCCGGCGCATCGCGGTGCCCACGCAGACACGCGCGGCTGCGCGCACAGCCCGCCCCTGGATCCCGGGAGAGTCGTGGAGGGATCCTTGGGGCATCTGGACACACTGTGCACAGCCCATGGATCCCGGGAAAGGCTGGGAAGGGATCCTTGGGGCATCTGGACACGCTGTGCACGGCCCATGGATCCCGGGAAAAGCTGTGAAGGGATCCTTCGGGCATCTGGACACACTGTGCACAGCCCATGGATCCCGGGAGAGACGGGGAGGGATCCTTGTGGCATCTGGCCACGCTCTTCACAGCCCATGGATCCTGAGAGAGATCCTTGTGGCATCTGGACACGCTGTGCATGGCCCATGGATCCCAGGAAAGGCTGGGAGGGTTCCTTGGAGCATCTGGACACACGGTTCACAGCCCATGGATCCCGCGAGAGCCAGCCCAGCCCCATTCCTGCTCAGTGTGGAGCCAGGGAATGGCTTAGGAAGGGATTCCCACACCAGGCATCACCCCCAAAACCAGCCTGGGCAAGCCCCTGTGTCCACCCTGGCATCGGGAATATTGAGGAAAATTAGGCAGGATCCCTGCCAAAGGGAGCTCTCCAGTCTAAGTGGCTGCGCAGGTGAATATCCAAAATGTTAAACAAAATGAGGGGGGGGTCTCTGTCAAAAGGGGAATTCTCCTGCCCAAACCAACCTAAATCCCAAAACATGCAGATATCCAAAATATGAACCAAAATAATGTGGGGTTCCCATCAAAAGGGCCCAAACATGAACCAAAATGAGGAGTGGTTTACATCAACAGGGGAATTCTTCAGCCTAAATCCTGACACATGAAGGTATCCAAAATRTTAACCAAAATGATGTGGGGATCCCATCAAAAGGGGAATTCTCMATCCCAAAGCATCCTGTCCAAGCCCTTGCACACCCTGACATTTGGGATATTAACCTTAATTAAGCAGGATTCACATCAAGGAAGAATTCTCCAGCCCAAACCAACCTGAATCCCAGAACACACAAATATTTAAAATATTAACCAAAATGAGCTGGGATCCCCAGCAACGGGGAGGTCTGCAGCTTAAACCAACCTAACCACCTGCACATGCAGATATCCCAAATATGAATCCAAAACCAGGCAGGATTCCCATCAAAGGGGGATTCTCCAGCCCTTTTTCTCACCTTTAGCTGGTTTTTAGGCACTCAGACCCCTGAGGATTGTGAGTTACCTGCTCTGCTCCTCCCCAGATGAGCCAYCCTGGGGAAAAA